CTTGTTTACCTTCAAACCTTTAAGACCCCAAACGCATTATCTTTTATAGCCGGAGTGTGAGGATTTTAATCCTAATATTCATTAGCCATGTATTCTTTTTGTAATGTTCCAATGCTTGAATATGGATCCCTGATGACATAGTAGTTATGTGTTGGGCTGCTTTCTGCAAAGGCAGCAGTTTGAAACCACCAGCCGCTCCAATGGAGAAAAACAAGGCTTTCTACTCTTGTGTAGAATAATAGTCTTGGAAACTCACAGGGGCATTTCAACTCCTAGCCTATAAGGTCGCTATGTACTTGAATTGATTCGATGGCAGTAAGTTTCTGTTTTAATACTTGAATTAAATTTATAGAAGTAAAGATTTAGAGATATGAATATAGAAATATACTCTGGGGATTTTGGTATAGTTTTTTGCTATGAAATCTACACATCTTAACTTTCAGGAGACAAATCATCAAGACAAGAAGTCTTACTTGTATTTCTTAGCACATGTGTAGAACACCTGCCATGTGCTTTGATATGTGGATTAGGAGTCCAGCTTTTTTTTGTATACAAAAGCTATATTCTGAAAGAAACTTCTTTCCTTTTTTCCAGACAATGGTGCAGGTCCTAGGCGCGCTTACAGGATGTGTTCAGCATGTCTGTGCCACACAGGAATCCATCATTCTAGAAGATATTCACAGCCTCCCCTCCTCAGTCCTTCATGTAATTAAAAGTACATTTGTTCATTGTAAGGTAAGCAGTGGGTCTGAGTACGTTTTAAATGGCCTAGGTATTTATCCCTGGGGAAAAGGACTGATTAAAATGGTGCTTGTACATGTATGCCTTTTATATTTTAGTCTGTGTTATTGCAATATGACTTTCTCATAGAACAAATAGCATGTATGTAAATACAAGTTTTAGAATAAAAGAGAAGTTATAACAAGTGGATCTTTTATTTTGAGGGTGAAGGTAAGGAGTTCTGTTTTGATATAAGTCCTCCCTACATAGAAGTAATGGTGACATAATTTTATTATACAACATTAGTGGGTCAGGTGTGTGTTTTAATGATTGGGTGCCTGTGAAAGGATGTTAGCCCTGACGTAATTTATCTCTGCATTTCTGAGGCAGCTTTAAGGCACAAAAGCTGATCTAGGGTTTCTGAAGCAAACATAGTTTTGATAGTATTTGATGGGTGACGATAGTATTTGATGGGTGAGTGCAAACCAATAATTAAGCAATATTCCTCTTTGGTGAGATGGTGCTAAAATTAGGTCATATAACTGACCAAATACTATGTAGCTCCCTTTTAGTTCTATATTTGGCATATTATAGAAACCAGGAATGGTATTTTTCATCTCTTGACATACGCAATATGTAGTAGATGTTTACTAAACCCTTGTTTAATGAATGGATATGTGGGTCAATAAAAAACAGCAGGTAATTTAACACCTTTGATGCTATCGATTAAAGTAAATTTGGCTCTTGAGGTTTTTGAGATTGCTTTTTCTCTCGTTTCTCTTCATTGTGATCAGAACAGTGAGTCCGTGTATTCTGGGCGCTTGCACCTTGTGTCAGACCTTCTCCAGGCTCTTTTTAAGGAGGCCTATTCTCTTCAGAAGCAGCTCATGGGACTGCTGGATCTGGTCAGCCTGGCCTCTGTGGAAGATGAGAATGATGGTATTTTGAATATGGTAGTAGGTGAGTGACATAAGCAACTTATTTAAAAAGTGATATTTATTTTCTGTAAAACAATCTTTGTAACTGTTAAATGAGCGATCCTACACTATTTCTAAAGATTCATGATAGCTTAGTCACTCCTGAGTATTATTTAGAGCCTTCTCAATAATAGTCTTTTTTAAAATAGATCTTTGCCCTTTGCCACTTTATTTATTTTGAATAATAAAACTAGCATTTATTGAATGCTTACTGAGTGGTTTTTTTTCAATGATAGTTTTAAATTTGAGAATTGTACATTTTAATTTGGATGTCTTAACAGATTTGCATATCTAGTTAACATTCAGAAGGTAATTTCTCTTCAATAACAAAGATATGCAACTTTATATCCAAATGTCCACATTTGGAGACATTAGCTTTAGTTTTTTTAATTGCAATCTGTAGTTGTTATTTGCTGTTGAGTCTGTTCTAACTTTTAGCCATCCTGTGTACAACAAACTGTGCCATCCTCACAATTGTTTCTGTTTGAGCCCATTATTGCACCCACTGTGTCAATCCATCTTAATGAGGGCTGTGTCAGTTTGCATTGAGTAGAGATACAAATTCATAGACATTCATGTGTATAAGAAAGAGCTTTATATAAAAGAACAATTGTATATTGGTTAAACATCCCAGCCAAGTCCAGTTTTAGTCCCTAAGTCCAATATTAGCCCATATGTCTGATACCAGTCTCTAAGTTCCTCTTCAGAGTCATGAAACATGCAATGATGCCAAATGCAAGCAGATCACGGGCCGGTGGGTGGAAAGTCTTGTGGATCCAGTGATAGTGTAAGCATCTCAGCACTGGCGTGGGTCTTCACGTGGCTCTTCCAGCTCCAAGGCTCTGGCTGCATGAGCATAGCTCCATTAGGCTCTTTGTCAGTAATGTCTCCCAGGGAGTGAATGTTTTGTCATCAGGACTGTCCCGTCTACAGTGAGCTATTTATCTCCCTAGTGCCTCCAAATAAGGTCATCAAGCTGTGACCTGATTGACAGGCTGAACTCCACCCCTTCACACTTAATAGTTTCAAGTTGACACCAGATTATGTAATTACCACAAAGGCCTTTCTCTTTTTTGCTGCCCTGCTACTTTACCATAGTAAGACACGCATTTCATATTGCTACTGAAAACACTCATAAGTATGTGTTGTGTGTTTATATACCTCCATAACCATTTATTTACTTAAGTATTATACATGAAATAATACCCCCTTTACATATGATTCATCCTGTTTCATTTTTCAAAATTTGCTAATTGGTTTCATCACAAACTTAAATATTGTGATCCACTTAAATATTTCTCTTAAAGGGAAAATATATAACTTGGATGTAAACATAATAATGGTTTTTTTTTTTTAAAGTGTATACGGTACTTTTGTTCTGTAATAAAGCAACCTTAAACAACACAATTTTTATTCATGATTTGTCGGGTCAGCACTTTAGTCTGGGTTCAGTGGGATACCTTTCTGTGTGTTTTCATGATACAGCTGGCTTGCTCAAATGTTTGTGGTCAGTGAGCTCACTCACACACCTGGCTATTGGCAGAAGTACTGGGCCAGCTGTGTTGGTACAGAGTCCCCCTTACCTAGCGAGGTCTCTTTAAGTTTCCAAGAATAGCTGGAGCACATCTCAATGCACAAGGGCAACGGTCTCTGCGTGCCTTGCATGTATTGTCCTGTTGACTAGAGCTAAGCCATTTTCATAATCTGCCACAGGCAGGGTAGAAACCTTACATGAGTAGAGCCTAACTACTCTATAGGAATATTGTGCTATTTAGTTTTAATTCTCCATTATTAGGTTTTCTTTCCTGAATACTTTGCCAATTTGGGGGTTATACTTGTGTCTATATAATATTGCAATTATAGTGAGGTATAATTTTGCATACCAAAGAACATTTTTAGTTTTATTTAGATCATGTGGTAGGTATGAACTTCAGAAATAAGGTTTCAATAATTTTTGAAAAACTTAAGTCAAAAGTGTGGCAGAGTTATTTCCACATTATTGCCTATTTTTAAATTAGTCAAATGTCATATTTCAGCATATATTCTTAAGTGAAGAAACTCACCACATGTTTATATTTGAATATCTTAAAGAGTTCTATTGTCTTTCTTTGCAGTTATTCATTCATTGATGGATATCTGCTTGGTTATATCCAGTATTGACAGTGCATTTCATGCCAACACTTGGAAGTTTATAATTAAGTAAGTTTATTTTTCAATTTTTGCATAGTATATATTCCATATCCTATATGTTTACTTCCTTATAAGTTATCTTAGATTATATCTGACACATTTTATGTACATTTTAGATACAGCTTTCTGGTAATACATGTAGGTCTCAGGCCAAATTGGTCGTCTTTATTATAAAATAGAGGAAAAAGTTACCTGGTTAGTTAGTACAAAAAGCTCATGGAAAAGTGGAATTGAAAGATAATGGAATTTTTCCACAATTGGAAGCCACCATGTATTGCAGTAATAGTAGGCTAGGCTAGACTGTTTGTCTGCTTTTGTTTAATTTTCAGATATCTTATTTCGAGGATTAAATGAATTAGTAATTAAGAGTTAGAGTTGAATATAGTACATTCATTATATATTTTTGAGGGATTCAAGTTTAGTTCCTATTATAAAGTAATTGTAATTTGTGAAACTGGAGTCTTATGAGGCTTACTAAGGAGCGTGCTCATAGCTTTTATTAGATTCTTACAGGTTGGGGAAGATTGGCTTGAAGAAGTAAACTTGATTAGGACTTGTATACGTGTATGAAATGTTCAAGGCCTGTTGCAGTTTTAGCTCTTAATTGTTTTTCTTCGACTAGCCAGTCACCCAGTAACAGTGTGGCTGGTAAGACCATCAACTCAGAGCCGTACTGTGCATATCTGAATCCATTCTGAAGTCACTTCTGTGTGGTTTGGCAAGTTGGTTAAAATGGGATCTCAGTTTTCCCCTCTGCAAATGGGAGTAATAGTTATAGTTTCTTCTTGTGAGACCTGAGTTTATCAGTGTGAGCGGCTTAGAGCGGTGTGTGGCACTTAGTGGGTGCTTATTGCCATCAAATAACTCCCATTTCTGCTCCTTTCCAGTTCATTTCCTACGCAGCATTTGAAGTGATCTTTAAAAATGCAATGCAGATGGTTATTCGGCAGCTAAAATCTATCTCCTTTTACTAAGTATGACAACCTAGCTCCTGGTTTCTGCTTTCCTCACCAGCCCATCTCATGCTCTTGAAGGCCTCTCCAAATCAGCACACTTGCTTAGAGTTTCTAAAACACACCAAACTCTTCTTCCTGTCCCAGAGCCTTTGCACGGTGTGTGTCTCTTGTGCTTCTCTCTCCTACTCCTCTGCACTCTGCTGACTCCTGTTTGCCACTTTGCTCTTTAGATGGCACTTGTGTCTGCAGTCTTTGCCCTCAGGGTGAGTTAGAATTGTCTCCCAGCTGTTGTGTGCTCCTTGGGTGCCCCAGATGGTTCCAGCCTAGCATTCATCACAACTGTGATCGATTAATTAGTCTTGTGATTATTTAATGCTCTCTTTTAAGTTAGATTACAGGCTTTGAACAGACATGGCCGAGGTTGTGTTTATTTGATTCATGTTTATCTGCAAGGAGTAGCAGAGTGCCTAGCACAAAGTAAGATTTCAATTAATATTTTATAAAGAGGAAAATATGCAATTTTGTCAAACATAACATTCAGAGATACTGTCAAAATACTTTAATTATGCCATGTTTAATTTATTGGATGCATTGGGATTTTTTTAATGTGATGCATTATTTCCATGGGACTAAATGACTTGTGAGGAGCCCTGGTGAGGTAGTGGTTTCTCCCTGGGCTTTGGCCTGATGGGTCAGTAATTTGAAACTTCCAGCCGCTCCTCAGGAGAAAGATGGATGGGGCTTTCTACTGAGAGACTCCTAGGGGCAGTTCTGCCCTGTCCTGTAAGGTTGCTATGAGCTCGTATTGACTGGATGGCAGTGTGTTTGGTTTGGTTTTGGAAGTTACTCGTGTGGTATTTGTGATGATTGTGTTCTTTTCCTTTTATTCATCTAGGCAGAGCCTTAAGCACCAGTCGGTTATAAAAAAGCAGCTGAAACATAAAGACATAATTAGTAATTTGTGTGAAGACATTCTCTTCTCCTTCTACTCTTGCTTACAGTTAGCTGAGCAGATGGCACAGTCAGACACACAGGTAAAATGCTGTCTTAACATCATTTTAAAACAGTGTTCCTTACTTTCGCTGGCAGTTACTAAATTTTATTTGAATTTATAGATCAGTTTATTTGAAAAGGTTTTCATTTTTTGTTTATTTAATCCATAGAATTGCTTAAAGCCCATATATTTACCCTTCACCCAAAGCATTACCTCTCGAATGCCTGTGCCCCCCTTGCACCCTCTCCCTTAAATGCTAACTGATCAGCCAAGATACTCTTCTCAGAACATTTTCAAATGTTCTCTCCCACAATAAACATTAAATTCCTTAGGCCTGTATTTATTTTTGACCTAGCCAAAGAGACCTTTCTTTCTTTTACCAATCCACTACAACCTGTAGTGACACTTGGTATTGTGTGTATTTAATGTATATATGCTTCGGTCTTCTAAAATTGGCATATATTTATCTTATGTGTATATATTAAAAAGTTAATATAGGCTTGAATTTTCATCTGATTTATGAAATAGGTTGTGTTCTAAAATTTGTTAATATCATTGGCAGTTAGAGCTCATTTTTCTTTTTTTTTTAGAGTTCATTTTTCTGTAACAATGATCTACATGGTGTTCTCAGACTAGCTCTGTAAATTCTGTTTACTACTTAAGAGTTCTAAATGACTCTTACTCAGGACCTAACAGTCAATTATAATAATTTTAGTGAGAAAATGAATTAAATGTCACTTTCTAGAATAGCAATAGCCATTCCTTCCTGTTGCAGCCCTGCAAATGTATAGGAAATTCTTTTGTGCCTACTATCATTTCTGCAAAGGAAATTACCGGTAGAGGTGAAAGATTTTACCCAATTCCTAAATACTGGTAGCAGTGAGTTTGGTTTTGGTTATTTGGCTCTAGTCTTTAATGCTACATTCTGATCTGCAATGCCCCCTACTGTTCATCATTGGTATTTATTTAAAAATCAAACGAAAAACCAAATCAAGGTGCTTTTTATATTAACTTACAGTTTTCCAGTTTTATGGAAGCATATAGTTGGATCTGTTAGTAGGGACTATCAGATACAGAATTTATTTTGATATGTTTATTTTTTGATGAATCTTGAACTTGGTTTTTAAAAGAGAACATTATATTAGACTTTTTAATATAGGCAGGCGCACTAGTGGCATAGTGGTTATACGCTGAGCTACTGACTTCAAGAAACCGCCAGCTGGAAGAAAGCTGGGGCTTTCTACTCCTGTAAAGAGTTTTGTCGTAGAGACTCACTGGGGCACTTCTACCCTGTCCTATAGGGTACTATGAGTAGGGATCAACTCAGTGGATTTTTAATATAGTGTTTTAAATTTTCTAACAGTTTTCCTATAAAGGTGGGGGAAATTTGATGTAATTTAGTTTTCACTGTAATTCCTACATAAAAAATATATTTATAATATATAATATATTTAATATGATATAAAATATAAATTTGTGTGACTCAGAAAATAAGCTATTATATGTCTTGAGTCTGGATGGTACAGTTAGTTAGTGTGCTTGGCTGGTAATCAAAGGTTGGGGGTTTGAGTTCATCCAGAAATGTCTCGGAAAAAAGATCTGATGATCTACTTCCAAAAAATTAGTCATTGAACAGTATGCAGCATGATTCTATTTTGATACACATGATGTTGTCATGTTTTAGAATCAATTGACCAGCAATTAGTTATTTTATGTATTGTCTACCATTAGATATATTGCCACTACATTTAGATTTTAGCAGTATTTTTTTTTTTTTATTTAAGGAAAGGAAGAATGAGTATTTTATTTTGAAACATTGAGCAGTGCTCAGATCAACACTTATTTGTTTGTACTATAGTTCCTTTATTGGCTTTAGGATGTAAGCTATTTTAAACTTTTGAATAAATCAAGATAGAATTTGTGTTACTTACCTTGCAATTTGAAAATGTCAATATAAAAGCCTTCCTAGATTTACTTAGTAGTGTTCTAGTGAGTAGTGAAATAAAATGACACCCTTCAACTAAATCTTGCACAATTTCTCCATTGAGAAGAAAAAGTAAGCTAGGTTATAATGAACTGGTGCCTTCGCTCATTCATTTTACAGATATTTCTAGAGTACTTCTGTGCCAACTTGTTGGTAGCGGGTGAGTAACACTGTAATGGAGTTCATGTTCATTATTATCAAAGAATAGTGAATTTTCATCTAACCTATTTTGCTGCAGAAAATTGATTTCAGACATTTTTATAAAGATCGAAATAGAAGTTCATATTCAAATACTGGCTTATTCAGCTCCCCTTTGATTGGATTTAACTAAAGTTTTGCCATATTAGAAAAGAGATCAAACATAGTCCATTGATATTAAAGTTAAGGTATATAATTTTCATATGGAATTTTTCTCAAAGGTAGTAATGTATCTTTGACTTAATTTCATAGCACTAACTTGAATCTCTTTGGATTACATAGGAACCAGTGTTTATTGAACTAAATCAACTAAATGTCAGACACTGTTTAAGCCTCACAATAACCGTAAGGTTTACCTCATTGAGGAAGTAGGGCCACAGTTAAATAATTTTGCTAGCCTCTATTTCCTTTACTTTCCTCCTGCCCCACTATCATGTTCACTCCTCATTTGCCTCTCTTTGGCTACATTACAATTGATCAAACCACCAGGAACTCTACACCCTCCTCCCCCTTGCTTTTAGACCCCTTGTTGTTCCCCCTGTATCTGACATTATTGGCATCTGACATTATTGGCTCACTGTTTCCCCCACCTTCCTCTTCTCTATCCCCGCTCCCCCACCCCCCTCGGTCCTGTTACTTTCTCCTCGGAATTGCTTTTCTGCCCATCTTATATAGATAGACATTAAATAAATGAATACAAATTAAAACAAAACTATAAATAGGTCCAAGTCTATTTGCTAACCTTTATGACTATCCCTCATCCAGGTCAGGTGAGGTGCCAAGTGCTGCCCCCTGAGTTAGAAGTTGATTTTCGAGATTCCTCATTGACTTAGTGACATTATTGTTTTTAGGAAATAGAGGAAAGAACTAGGAAATACCAACTACTGTATATATAGAGGTATAAGTGTAGACATGTATATATGTTAATAAATATATAGAGATAGGGATGTTAGTCCCCGTACATATATTTATATGTTAATACATTAAAGTAGCAGATGGACTTTGGGCCTTACTCAAGTCTTCCCTCAACACAAGAACACTTTGTTCTAAGAATGTGGCACTGTATGCTATTCACCTTCCTGACATGATCGCTGAAGACAAAATGGGTACATAACCAAATGAAGAAAGCTGATGGTGCCCGGCTATTGAAAGATATAGCGTCTGGGGTCTTAAAGGCTTGAAGTCAAACAAGCGGTCATCCAGCAGGGGAACAACTAAGCCCGTTTGGAAGAAACTCCCCAGCCTGTGTGATCAGAAGGTGTCGAAGGGAACTGGTGTCAGAAGTTCAAAAACAAGCAATCGTATTGATGTGATGGAAAAGGGCCACAGTGGAGACCCAAAGCCCATGTTGATAATTGGGCATTCCCTCACAGAAGGGACATTACATCCAGGGTGCAGTAGAGCACTGACGAAACACAACATTCCTATAATTCTTTAATATTTCCTCCCCCCACTATTATAGCTAGACTGATGTATGTATATTGGTATAGATAATAGCTTTTGATACACAGAATGCAGGATAGATAAACTCCTCAGAAATAGTAATGGGAGTAACGATTTTATGAAGGTACGGAAAGGGGCAGGGGAGGGTGGAACTGATAGCAATGATGACTGCATAAACCCCTCAAGGAAGACGAAGAACAGATTTGTAGGTGAAGGGCTACATTGGATGGTATAGGATTGTAATAATACCGTGTTTCCCCGAAAGTAAGATATCCCCCGAAAATAAGACCTACTTACAGTTTTGCCTTTCGCTGAAATATAAGG